GGCCCCGCAGATCGGTAATGAAGGATGTTGCGCCTGGAGGGGAAAAAAGGTGACCCGAGGAGGGACTTCGTTGGTGTCATTTCCTCTCTAAATACTTAGGAAACGAGATGTACGTCCCACCTGGGTTAATGACACACAGCCCTGGTCCTGCTCTTCCTATAAGAACGCACATCAAGGATGCGGTAAGGGCCTGTGTTTAGCCCTTGCTCTAGGACTTGCCTCCCCTTTTGAAGGTGAACACTGCGTGGTCCGCCTGAAGCTCCGTGCACTAATAGGCCCTTGAGCACTGCCGCCCACCAGCTTCAACTAGCTAGCCCTTCAGTGGCGTAGTGCACCACCAAGGCCCAGGGATGCCCTTTGTTAAAGCTCTGCTAGCTACATTGCTCTGGGTCCTTAGCCATATCACCTTCTTCCGATCTGTGTGTTCGTGTGTTTCCATTTTCAACTAACCCTGCAGGAAGAGGCTAGATGCCCTACTATCGTTATTTGCTCAGTTTCCAGCTTGAACTACTGTACCAGCGAATTTGTTACCTTCTTAGCAGGATATCCACGCTTTAAATGATTTCTGACACAGTGCTATGCAATGCAGAGCCTGAAGCATTTGAGCTTATAAAGCCAGGCCTTTTATTTGTTTACTGTGAAACTCAGGGCAAGCCACTACCCTGTGAGGCTCTCTTTTCTCAGCCCTGAAATGACAGATGTAAATGCAGCTTGCAGAGCTGTGGATTGAACTGCATAACTGTGGAAGATGCCAAGCATAGTGTCTAGCAGGTGAGCCGGTCTCCTACATCCCGTTATGAAATCAAGTTCAAGTTCACTCTGCTTCCCGGAAGACTTTCAAGCTAATGAACTTCTCTGGCTAATTTGATATTCAATGTGAAAGGTAATGAATGACATCATTGGTAACATTTTTAGAAGCTTAATTAAGGGAAATTTGAAATACAAAATGGAACAGCATATTAAATAAACCTCATAGGGAAAGGTTAAGCAGGCAAAAGAAATCCATGCATGGTAAAGACCATAAATTGTGGTAGTATCCTCTGCAACCCCCTTGACTTTTCATCTCTGTTTTCACCAGTTCAGCCAACAGTTAACAAAGTTATTACCATCCAGCCATTCATCTAGAATGAGCTCCATACATTTGCTGGCCTGCCAATGGACCACTCTTCTCAGGCGGGCTTGGCTCTTTTTAAAAGGAAACTTTACTATAAAACTAACAGGGAAGTATTAACATCGTAAAAATGAGGGCTAGTCTTATTTTAAGAAATCTGGAATCTGTGTCAGTTGTGCCTGGTTGTGTAGATGCCTACTGTTGGTGTTTCGCCTAACTTTAACCTCATCTCTTTTGGTTAGTCTACAGCCTGGCTTTGCTCTTAGGCCAGACTGGTAGTTGGAGCGGCTGTCCAGGCCCTAAACTTCATGAAGGTGCCAGGAACCCTGAAGATACAGTGGTCAAGTGGTGGAGACCAGGAAGTAGGGAAGAGGAAGGAGTGGTGGAATGCACACAGTGCTTGTTTCTGATACAGAGAGAAACAACAGAGCTGAGGAAGTCACCCCCTTTCCTCATTTTGGCCATTCTTCCTTCCATTGTTCCAAGAGAGGTAGAAAATAAAATAACCAAAACCCTGGAGATGTCTGATGCTCCAGTTGACAGCACATGTGTTGGATCTCCTAGCTCAACTTTCAGTCACCTTCACCCAGCTCAAGCCTCATTAAGGGTTCATAAATATGTGCTATGTATCATATGTGTAATTAAAGTCAGAGTTGAGATCACCTGAGAGAGCCCAGCTCCCTGTCACACCTAGAGGTTTAGGGGAAGCACCTGGGCTGAGGAATCAAAAGGTGTCCTTTCAGTTCCAAAAGCCTGATTTATGGCAGGTGGCTTCTGTGTGCCATGACCTGTGTGAGGTACTTTTGCTTTTCTGTCACTCCTGAAGCATTTTTCTGTCTCTGCCATATCTTTTGTTGGCACAGACTTACTCTAAGCACGACTTCTTGTGATCTTCAATAAATATAGCTGCTTGCCTTTTGCTACTGGGCGTATACTTGGAAGTTCTTTGATCATTGTACAAAAGAGCCTGGAGTATAACTACCCACTACAAGGTAACATGACTGATTAGTTCTCCCCTGGAATAAAGCAGAACTTCATCTATTGTATCAGAAAACAAGTACAGACTGTGCAATCATTGTGAGAATTAAATGAGTTAAGACCTCTAAAGAATATGGAAGACCCTGATCCGTGGTAAGTAATATTGGAATATTTGTTAAGTTTACTTTTTAAAATCTCTTATTTTGGTCATTTTCTGCCAGGAAAGACAAAGGATGTTTACTTCTTCCTGTTTAAACAGGAAGTTTCCACCAGAGTCACCCAGTCAGGCTTTGTCTCTATCGTCTGAATGATACCTCAGGATCTCAGCTCTTCCTTTATTTTATTTTATTTTTTTTCTGGGGCTGGACAGTGAAGCCAGAGTTTTGCACATGCTAAACAAGTGTTCTGTATAACTGAGCTCTACCCCTAGTCCTCAGTTCAGTTTTAAACAATGATGGAAGAAATACTGAGAGAACAGGAAATGCTAAATGAATCCTTCAGAGTCAACATTATCAACGGATACTTCCCTGTAGCCAGGGAAACCTGAAAACAAGAGAATTTAGATTATTTTTATGACCTTGAAAGACCTTAAAGCTGAGACAGAAAGATAATTACAATAATAAGAAGTAATCATGTTATGGTTACTGGAAGAAAATTTTATTTAATGGCTTTATTTTAAATTTATTACTACCATGCACTTCTTTTATTATTTTCTGTGCACTAGAGACCTCTCACTTAGTTATTTGAATGTCCAAATGAATAAACTGAATCATAATTAATGATTTTCTATTTGTATTAAAAAGTACATTACAGAGATTGCAGTTAAAACTAAAGAGAAAAATATTTTTAAATGAAATAGGTGACATCATACTTGGTTTATGCTGTTTAAGGATGAGAAATATCCACAAAGCGTTTTAGATTTTCTTGATGTTGTGAAAAAAATAAATATGCAAATGGAAAGGAATAGGAGTGAAAGAAAATAGCATACTTAATATCACCAATATGGTTGTTAAAGTTTCAAACCTCCATATTAAAATCGCTGATTAAATATAGCAATTACTTCAATACGTAGTCTTAGCATCTGAGATTCAGCTAAAGAAAAGTATTAGGTTGGTGAATTTTGCTTAGACAACTGAATTTTTATATACTCCAAAATTCTGTGGCACTCTCTTAAATAAAAATGTACATTATAAATATGGTTAGAATTCTGCTGAGAAAAAAAATTTCCCTTTAATATTTAAATTATATGAAAGAAATTTTAAAATAAAGCTCATATTTTAGTAGCCATTGTCACTTTAAAACCAGAATTAAATACTCCTATGTAGTAACTGAAATATCACAGAACTTTAAGATAATACTGTTATTGTTAAAATTTGTAAAGAATATCACCAAATTTCATACTAATCTCAGTGCCTTAACGCACACCCCCTCCCCCGCACTGCGGATCCAACCTAGGGGGCGCTGTACCGCCAAGCTACATTCCCCAGTGCTTCATATTTTTTATTTTGACAGTAAGCTTTACTAAATTGTTCAGGCTAGCCTCAAACTTGCCATCCCCCTGACCTGAGGTCACATAACAATAAGGCAGCAGAGCTGGGAACAAAGCCAAGATGTTATCTGCTTAATTCAGTGTCTTTCTCCAAACACACCAACTCCATCTTCACACAGGTTACTTTGCCTGTCAGGATAAATGTTTATATTTAATATTGTCTTTTCCTTTTTCTAGAAATATATATGAAATCCATCTTTCAGGCTTTCTTTACAAACTCAGTCTTGGGCATCTATAGTACATGACAGGAAGAAGGGGTAGATAGTTAAGATCCCCACTGTCGCCTCCTTATCATCTGATAAGTCAAAATGAGAAAATCAGTAGATCAGGTTAGCTTTATCCACTTTTTCTCAGCCTAATGTTAGGCTTATTCAATAGATTACTAGATTTGCCTTAAAGAAAATCTGAGCTATGAGACAGTAACCACTGACTCAAGGCCAGCAAATTCTAGGCTGAACTAGAAAAAGAAGCCTGCCCAAT